CCAGATGAGGTGAAGTCACTTCCTGTTCTTGCAAATTTACACTAAACCCCTCCAGTTCTTCCACAATCTGCAGTCTCACTCACTTCTAGTTATATGTCACAAAGACGACTTTAGGACAAAGGAACTGAATCAAATCCCGGTTCCGCTGCTTAGGAGCTACATGATTAGGGGCAAATTTTGCAGCTTTGGTCTCCTCATCTATAAAGTGGGAATGGTCATACGAGGTTGTTTAGAGAATCCGGTGAGATGGTATGTTATTTTAGAGTGCGGGGCACATCACCAGCAAGGCTGGCTCCCTCCAACCACCTGCCTTCCGGTCCCTTTTGACCGAGAGTCTCTCGGCTGAGGGATATGGAGTTGGAAGGTAAAACTGCAAAGTGGCTAACAAGTTCTGCTAATGCCCTGGGTATCCTCACTACACCAGTGGTGTCAAGTCTATTTGCAGAGACTATAAAAACAACTGGTCCATTTCTATCACAGCCTTAAATGGGGTTTTCCTTCACCATACCTAAGCATAGGTCATTTTACTCCCAGAAAAATATTTAACATTATCACACAGAAGATGTTTCAAACGAAAGACTACATACAAAATTAAAAAGTGTACAACGAGGGGCTGAATACATGCAAAATGAATGAATGAATGAATGAGTACAAAACAAATGAATGAATATGAAGGCAAAATTTATAAACTGAGGAGAGGCCATTTTCCAGCCATAGCACTACTGTTATCCCAGCAATCGAGCCGGTGAAGTAGATGCTCTGCGAAATGTGTGCTGTGATTCTCTCCTCTGTGCTAATGTCCATATCCCCAAAACAGCAGCTCTGAGTCCGGAAGCCAAGAGCAGAGCCTGGCAAAATCAGCGGGAGCCCTGACTGTGTACCAGCCATTTTGGAACAGATAAAGTCATTAAGGAAAATTTTAACAATGTATAACCTTTCCGCTTTACTCTGCTAACAGCAGGTAGTGGTGCCTTTCAGAGGCAAGAACCTGCTTTGAAGTCGCCAGTGAGCAGGACTTGACCTTCATTTTCAGTACAGCCAGCGTTAAATATTTATAATCCACGTAACCGTAGCATAAGAAGCACCAGCATTTAAACATGAATCAAAGCAATAAATATATTCACACGTGTGAGTCATCCTTTCCCAGAATGCTCCTGGAAAAAAATGCAAATCCACAGGGCTCTGAGCTGCTGAATCTTCCAACTTTCTCTTAAAATTCTGGAAGCAAGGGGACTGGCGCATTATGCAATCCATGAATCCTGCCCTCACGCTGACATCAGATCTTTCTTCCTTCTTTATCTGTTAGATAAGAATTACTGTTCTTGTGTCAAGGGGAGGGACGGAGCCAGCAGTGGTGACATTAGCACTCCGAGGGCACTGAAGGGCACTTTTGACTTGGTTGTACAAGTTAAAAAAAAACTCTGCTTTGCAGGGATCAGAGTGTGTGGGAGAAAAGGTCTCAGCGTAGGCACTGACAGACGTCAGACTTGGGAGCTGGAGTGAGGTGTGACATAAATTGGGCAAGGAGCCTTTAAGAAGAACAGGAAAAAAGAGCTCCTTGGACAGATATGCGTCTTGTGTAGCTAACTGGGGAGATATTTTGGGGGAATGGTATTACTGTGCGTCATCAGTGCCATGGGCCTCTATGTTTGTGAAAGCACGGACACCAGTGTCCATCCAAAGACCTGCTGGAACATCTCCCTGTGCTTGGGCATTTCCAGAGACTCCGCTGCTGGGACGATGAAGCATCATTTCAGCACAGTTAATGCAACGCTCTTTGGCCCTCAGCTCCAGGAGTTCTGAGGACAGTCTCTCTTCAGTGGACAACAATCACTGGAACCTACACAAATGACTCTTCCATAGTGATCCCTCTAGGAAACGGAAGGCTCAAAGAGAGGCTTTCATATGGAAAAAAAGACCATTTCAGGCATCTGTCTATCTTGGCCTAAGAATTTGAAAAGAAAGCTGTACAAGGGGAAGACGGCTTTGGAAAAGACTTATTCCTTACCTTCTGATAGTAAAACAAGCTTTGAAAGGTTAAAACGATCATAACCTGGAAGTTATATTTATTGGAACTTCTTTACCTATCTGTAGAGTCAAAAAAGTTGAATAAACCCCTAGCTTGCTGTCCATGCAGGAGCTCCACTGGCCTGCTATGAGGCTAAGCCAGCAGAGGCTAAGGCTGCTAAGGCCTGCTATGAGGCTAAGCCATCTGCTTTATATATAAATCTGTGTTCCTCGCACCTGCAGGGTTCTGGGTCACCTATGAGACTCGCACATTCCCTACCGTTTTGCTGAGCCCAGCTCTGTTTAAAAAAAATGGAAACAAGCTATTTCATGGACGACACCAGCCCACTGAGCTCACTCCTGATTGACTTATTTGAAGGGAATAAATACTAACTAAAATTCATCTTAAGAATACTGGATACCTCTTTCAAGGGTGATGATTTAGTATAATTTCCAAGAGAAATTTAAAGCTACTTCCAAGATGCCTCGACGGCCTTCCAAACAGTGACTGTTGAACCAGTAACAGTTTAGAATGAGCAGGACAGATTTGAAGAATTTACATTCCACTATCTTACTTTCTTTCCATTTGCACATTACACGTGGGTAAAATTCCACTTTATATCGTGCACTCGGCGTGATGATAATTTGGTGTTGTTCTCAGGAACACGAGGACTTATCACAAAGGCAACTTCACAGATTCTACTTGAATTCTTCCCCCTTCTGAACAGAGTATCCTCACCGGCTCTCCCCAGGAAGATGAAGGCTCCCTCATGCTCACTGCTGCTGATTGGGCCTCTGATGGCTCAGCATCTTGGATGTGGTCTCAGGACCAAATGAAGTAACACAAATGAGAAGTGGATGGGGCTACAGGAATAGTCATTATGTGTTCTCATATGCAAATTTGCTAAACAGTTTAGTGATTCAGGACAGAGGAAGTCTGATGCTAGGACAAAGCTAAAGCAGACCCCAGGGAGTGTGAGGGCAGTCTCCTTCCTAAGATTCTTAGGAAGCAATTTTTTACTGGGAAAGCTGAGAACAGGATTAAAGTCAGCTTTGGTATAGACACCTCTTTCCTCCATGAAAGAAACCAGAATTGGAGAGGATTCCTAATGCCAGTTTCTGCAAGGCTTAGCAAAGTCAGAAGAAATAAATCGAAAGGATGTGGAGGGAGCTGCGGCACTTGGAGAAGACGTTTTGTCTTGGGGATTCATCCCTGTCCATCCTCTCCCATGAATCTACAGTGTCAAAGATTGTTTCCTAGTACACATTAAAAAAAAGACACCATCCAGATCCATCTAACAAGAGTATTTTATTTCAAAGAAATACAGAGGAGCAGAAAGGGAGGAGACAGGGAAGGAAGGAGCGGCTCAGGCATCTGTCCTTCCAAGCGATCACCACACTCACCTCCGTATAAAAGTGTGCTCTCTCTGGGGCACACAGACTACATGTCCAAACCAAACCTTTTTCCTGAGTAGCAGCATGGGAGTTGGTAGGGTATTCACCCCACAGCATAGGAAAACAACCCTGGGGAGAGATTGGAGAAAAAAGACCAAGGGCTTTAGAAGGTCTCCAGTTGAAAACAAATATGGGCCAGAATCAGGAAGAGTAAATATTAAAAGGGTGCTTACCTTCAATGACACACCAACTGGAGTCTTCCAAACTTAAAAAAGCTCTTCTCTTTCTTGGACAGGGATTTCTCATGGAGAGAGCATATGACTCTCATCTCTTGTGGATACCTAAAGGACCCTCCATTTGAGATGGATGAGGGCAGCCCAGCCTTGCATGAGGATGCCCTATAGGACCTCTCATCATCTGAGACTTGATCAGTTCCCAGATAGGTGCTTAGAGGGGATGTTCTCTTTATCATCCCTGACATGACATTTTGACCTCTGCACCCAAATGCAAAAAGTCCTCTGGCCAGTGACAAAATGGCTCTGAGAAATTGAAAGTTTCGATGTGCATGAAATCACCACCACCCTGAGCCACAGGAAGAGAGAGCTACCCTTAGAGTTCAAGCCAATACAGATATCGAGCAGGTTTCCTAGGATCAGAGTCTGGTATCCAACCATTCTAAGAGCGGAGTTAAAAGCGCTGAGGACACTCTCCCAGCAGATAACGAGGACAAGGAGCTCAAGGCCATTGTACTTGGCCAGAGTTATCAAGTTCACATCACAACAGAAAAGCGTCAACTTTAAAATCACAAAAGAGTTTTTGGAACAAATGGTACACCCCAGGGTGGCACCCACAGGAGCCGGAGCAAAGGGGCCACCACCTCGCAGCCCCCTGCTCAGTATTCTCTTTGGCCTCGCACAAGGTCTTCACCATCTGTGACCCAGGCTTACCCAGCAGCAGCAGTTCACTCAGCACGAGTGTCCCAAGCGTCTGCATGAGTGTCCCCTCTAGGAATCCTTAGATGACCGTAGTCCTCCACCTCTAGGAGTCACTGTGAACTCCTCTGCTTTCTTACCTTCACAGATCAAGAAGCACCAGTGCCCAATGTTTCAGCTGAATATTTTTTTAGCAGGTGACAGAATCACACTATGCTTTCTAATCTGTCCTCCAAGAAGGTCAATGCACGGGAAACCCAGATAGGCAAAGGACCCTCCCAGCACGGCTAGAACAGTTTCGGACTCTGATCTGTGGGTCATTGTCACCCTCACACAGGTTGCAAATTTCCATCAAAGCCCTCGAAACTTCTTGACATCTTCAGTGCAAATACTTCATCAGAAACAGGTATTTAAAAATAAGAATGCCCAGCAAGAAGACGTAACCCCATATACCTCTCCCTCCCATGCCAGCAGAATCAAAGCAGCCTTCCGAGAGCTTTCCTTCCCATTCAGAAAACCAGCACAGAACAGCCCAGTCTTCCTCCAAGTCTTCCACACTCAGGAGGGCCTTGTAAAGGCGGGTGTCAAGGTATATAAATTCACCAATGTAAAGGGTCATTTTTTTTTTTTTTAAAAGAGGGTCAGACAATGTATTTGAATACTCACTTTGACGAATCTATGAAGTATATTACAAGTGCACCAATGCTGAGAGCAAAGACTAAGACAACCTGCAAAAGAAGAGAAAAATTCCGGATGTTTATTTTTCTTGACACACGCAGCAGAAGCTCTGAAACACAGGGTCAATTGTTTTCACGGGCCTGCTTGGAAATCTGCCCTGGCTGCCTCCATGTCCTGACTGCCCTGATGCTGGTCCTTACCTGGCAGTGGCCAGCAACCTCACTCCTTGCCAATAGGGGTCAGGATAGACTTTACTATCCTAGCGCACCAGGTTTTTGTCTGATCTGTTTATCCCAAGGTCCAGCTTCTCTGCAACTGAAGCCATTAAACCTCAGGAAAAAAAGAGCAAGTGGTGCAATGTCTCAGATTATTGTAACCTAAGATCTAAAGGGACCCTAAAAGGATATCAATTAGAACTCACCCATTTTAAGCATGCAACTCCTCGATGACTTTTAGTAAATGTACCAAGTAGGGTGACCACCACATACTTTCAGAACATTTTCAACATCCCAATGAGATATTTCATGCCTGTTAAATTAATTCCTGATCTCAGCTCCCAGCCCCAAATAGTCAGTAGTCTATTTAATGTCTCCAAACAAGAAATATCCATTTGAAAAGTGCAAATTTGCTTGTACAGATGTTCACATGAGTATATTGGTGTACATGTTTATACACACACAATCTACAGATGTAGATATGGATATAGTTGCTATATACACGTGGTTAAGACACTTCTCAAGTTCTTAGGAAAATAGCTGAAGTGCATAAAGCCAAATTAAGTATGCATTTGGCCAGTTACACAACAATTCTTCTTTAGATTCTTCACTCAAAGTTAATCACCCTAGCTATAAAAGACAGCTTGGCATCACCTTCAATGGACACCTGTCACACAGAAGTTCATCAAATGAATATGTAACAGATTAGGTTGATACTGACACTTCTGTCCTCACTCAATGTTCCAAAGCGTTTATTGAATCTTTCACTCGAGACTATTAATGCAAATAAAGGATGGCCAAAAATAAAAAGAGAAGCTAACAGCCAACAATTAAGCCTAAGAACAGAAAGTAAACACAACCATTACACACAATCTCTCCCTGCCAGTCAACAAGTATCGTTTAGCTATGCTAATATCTTAAAGAGTCCCAGGGCTGAAGAGCTGCCTTGAAGAGCTGCCAGTTAGAAATGTGTATCCTGAAATATCTACATACTGATACCCCACTGGCATTGGCTATAGGCATGATCAAGCTGTGCGTGTGAGTGTGGGTGTGTGTGTAAGAGAGAAAAACACACACACTTGTGTTTTGAGTATGAGCCAAAGTAGCTGGTGGGAAATAAAACCTGCATGAGATATTCCTCTGTTTTTTTTTGTACCAGGAATCAAACTCAGGACCTTGTGCTTACCAGGCAGGCACTTGTGCCACTGAGCTATATACCCAGATATTCATTTAAAACACTGCACAGCTCCATGGAGCTCCTTGGATGGGGGATGGTGGGTTACATAGCACAAAAGACAACAGTCAAAATAACTGGACATTGTAAAAGAAATTCACAGTTTCATAGCAACCGCTATGATTTCCTTAGGAAAGGAAATGTTAAAACAATACACCACCAGGGCTTATTCTATTCCTCCATTTTGTTTTAAAAACCAAAACTCCATCCAGCTGAATCCAAGGGAACTCCTGCCATCTGTCAGCAATTCCAGCCCCACAGTAGAAACTTCTGGGCTGGCCACCTCCATCTCTCCCCTCACACACATCCATTCATACTCCCCTTGCAAAGGAAAACACAAAAACCAACAGAAGCATAAACAAGCCTCTGCTTTTTTCTCTGTTATCTGAAGGAGGCAGCTAAACAAATAGCTGAAGATTAAATTGGAGCTGTGCTGCTATTTCTGAGAGTTAAGCACTTAGATCCCAGCCCTGACCTCATTCTCAAAAAGCTGCAAAGGGGAGGGGTGTGGCTAGAGCAGCCAGGCAAGGCCTCTTCATTCATAAACAACAGACCCAAGACTAATCCCTGGTGACTTGGCTCCATGTGTGTGTCTGTGAATGCTGAGCTCCTGTCAGACTGGCTAGACGGTCCTAGGCCACAAAAAGCCCCAACCACAGGAAAGGAAAGGAGAAAATCCTTGCACATGGCCTCCACATCATTCTGTAAGGAGCTGAAATCTCGTGCTCTTGCAGTGGTGATGGTTTCCCAGCATCAGGATGGCCAAAGTAACTGGCACTAATTTGTCCCAGCTGCCTCCACTTGGTGTCTGTGATGGGGATAACACATTGCTTATTTAGGCAAATCAGCCCGTGACAATAGGAGGGAATAAATCCTGCTGTTTTCTTGTGATACAAACTCAATTTTCAGCATCTCTCAGGATAAGAATGGAAAGAAACCAGGAGGGAAATGTCCTCCAGGGCTCCTCCCAGCACCAGGCAATGAAGGCTCTGTCCATGGACCTCTGTGGGGGTCCACATGTTCTGCCAAAAGGTTTTCTCTCTGGAGGTGCAAGGAGTCCAAATTGCCCCAGTCACTACCACCCGCAGTCACTCAGCTCTGTACATGAAATGAGCAATGCCTCACAGTATAAAGGTAGCTGCACATGTAACCCTTCAACCTGCAAAGACCTCTTTATCCTGTCAGGCTTGATTACTCTGTCAACCTTAGACCCAGGTGCAGGAGAAACGCATCAACCCTTTGGAATCAGCCCTGAAAATAGGAACAGAGACTTGACTTCCACATGGCCCTAAGAAAGACACTGAGCAAAGTGAGTTTATTCTCTCCCTTTCTGTAATTCTTTAATGAAGCCCCACTCTCTGAGAACCCTACTCTAAATGTACAAAAATCGGAGAGCATGGAGCAATTCAATTTTAGCCCAAATGGGAGTTATGTTCTAGCACACCTCCAAACAGTCATCTAAGTACTTATTTAATATACGCTATGCATAAGGCCCAAGAGAAACAAAAACTTGAAGTCCACTTGGAGGCATGAAATATTCTCTTCCTCAGAGCGGTCGTTACATAGATGAATCATATGCCATTATCCAATGAGTATAACTGGATATGAACTAATTAGGTATAGTCGAAGTCTAACAGGCTACTCGCCAGTTGGGTCATTAATAGATAAGAGAAGTTTGAAAAGGGCAAGAACAACAGGTGCTCATATCCCAAGCTCTCTTCCATCTCGGTGTCTTTTCCTGGTCTCTGGAGACCTAGAGTCCCAGGGAAAGGAGGACGGCAGCTCAAAGGACAAGGCAGGGTGCAGGTGAGATCACTGAGTGTTATCCCTCCGGATACCACTTTGCTGACTTTCACCATAGCCTGTCAAGCGTGGCCAGCTTCTCCTGGGTTGGCTTCAACCATCACCTTGGCTCCCCTGGAGGTACCAACTGCCATATTCTCTGATTTGCGAGAATCACCCACTGGCTGTGTGGTGCTGCTGAATACGGAATGATGTTTCCAGGGTGCCCGATTCCTAAAAACAAAAGCAATTTGATGTCACTGGAACAATGGGGCCTGTGACTCACCTATTTTCATAACTCGGGATGAAACATGACACGTGTCTGCACCGAAGAATGCCAGGAACACACACAGTGTATTAAAACAACAGCAACAAAAGTCTGTCTTCCTTATCTCAAGGAGTCTGGTGATGAACAGAGAGCTAAGAGGGAGGCTCACAACTCTCTCCTTAGACGGTCCCCAGAGGGCCATAAGAAATTTCATAATAAAAGGAAAACACATGGCCTCATGTAGCATATGCCCCTTTGGTTATTGGAGCTTTAAGGAAAGGGCAGATTCCAAGGATGTGGACACAGAGAGAACTGAGCTAGCAAAGGGGGCTTTTCAGGGACACTGGCTTTTCTAGACCTTGGCCTCAGATGCCAGCCTGAAGACCAAACGCTTCCAATCAGCTTATGATGTGACAGGAGCCTGCAAAGAAGGACTCGGGGTCCAAGGCTCACAAAAGTAACTAGCACCAGAATCCTATCCCCTGGACAGCTTTCCTTAAAAAAATAAAAGATGCTCTCATCCCAGTCAGAACCAGCACATGATAACTGGGGTGGTGGGAGCTGGGGCACCTCTACCTCTCACAGGCTCTTCCGGGGAATTTGATGCGTGGCCAAGAGTGGGAGTCGCTGAATGAAAGCCATTAGGGGAAACCACTTAGCCCAAGTCAGACATTAATTTACAAATGTCGCCTTTACAATTAGCCCATTAGAACATATGTATGGGGCCTGCAGGCTTGGAGAATCTGCTAGGAGTACTCTGGAAAGTACAGAGAAAAGGATGAATTAATTCTCTCCTGAGCAGGCTTTACACGGTCTCCTTGGCTCACAGCAGAACAAATGACCCTAATTAACGATTCTATGTGTTTGATATAGAATCCAGCTTCTGCTAGAATCCAACAGACACCCTGCTCAGAAAGTGAACAACTTTCTGTATGTGATCCCAAGGGCACATGACTTTTTTTTGGAATTGGGGTATAATTTATGTACAATAAAAATTTACTGTATACAGAAAAAATAGATATGAGAATCCCCAAGGCAAAACAATCTAGGGACATTTCGTTTCTGACAGATAACATCGTTCCGACATCTAAATTATAATGTTTGGTCCAGTGAATTTAACAACAGCAACAAACATTTATTGAACGCCTGAGCACAAGGCCTAGAGTGAGGGAGATGGGGAAATACAAAGCTGAGAGGGCTAGGTCAGAGCTGGCTTTTACCTCCACAAGCATACAGTCGAGACGTTTAAATTACTCAGGAGTCCCTGATGGATTTTAGAAATGCGAAACACACAGACAGACACTTCCGGGATGGTTGTCAAAGGAAGGCTCAGGTGTAGAAATAACATGAAACTCCTAAAATGAGAGGGAAGAGAAGGGTCAGGTGGAAAATCCAGGGAAAGAATTCCTGACGTCCAGGACCACCTGAGGGAACTCTTGCTAGTGTGGGAGTGGGAGTTGCTGAATGAAAGCCATTAGGGGAAACCACTTAGCTCAAGTCAAGAGGCGCAAAGGGCAGTCAAGAGGCGCAAAGAGTGACTGACGTTTTTGG